ACAAACTCGATACATCACACTGCACTCAATAATTAGAGCATATTCATTATAAAGAACATAAGGTTAATTTTAATTAATGCTTTAATGTGCTGCTGAAAAAGTAAAATATATAATCCTCTTTGATCCAGTGCAGACTACTGACCTAACGGAACATTATACTGACTTGTATAATTTAAAGATTGAGTGAGGGGAGGCTAGTCAGATAACAGGCTCTTCTAAAGCTAACGCCCTGCATCTACTATACAGCAAACCAGCCTCACCCCAGCTGTGGAACTGTTTTCTTCAAATGAACTATTCTTTAAGGATTTATAGTAACTTAGATGATCCTTAGTTGTGATTTCTATGATCTGCTTCTGTTTAGCTCCCAACACTCTATGCACATTTAATTATTATTCACTCCTTAAGAAAAATGTGAAAATTTAAAAAACTTGTTCCAAGTAAGTGACATAAGATGTGGGTACATTTCTCAGAAAGAGAAATTTCATATAACTGCAACAAACGGAACAACTGATGTATGCAAAGCTTTGTCAAAATTCTGCCTAAAAATTATGCCAGCTTGTAATTTAATGTTGCCACTGAAGAACGGAGAGGGATTCACCCTTAAATCAGCCTCACATGAACAAATGGAGCCATGACTAAACCTCAACCACACCCACGGTTTGTTTTCCTTTTCAGAAAGATTATGAATCTTCATCTCCGATGTAATAAAATGTTGCCTTATGTCTAGGCATTACAGCATTTCTGACCTTTGTACCCTGACCTTGAATCACCTTTTCTATCTAAAGGCTCACATCCTCCAGCTTAGGGAAATTTTCAGTTATTTTCCCTTCGGTGGTTCCCTTCCCTACTTTTGTATTTTCCCCTTTTCTTTCTTTCTGGGGCTCGAGAAAGAAGGGAGATGTTAGACTGGTCTTCTATGTCTCTTACTTTTTGTTGAAGAGCCTTTGTATCTGAACTTTACAGAACAGCGTCCCAGCTAGAGAGAGCAGCTACTGAATGTTTTCAGTTGGATAAAACTAATTCTAAGAACTGTGTGTTCTCTGATTTTTCCTTTTACACAGTATCCTAGTGTCATCTTTTAGATGTAATACCCTTGTGAAACTCTCGATTTATTTAAACAATTTTAAAGATATATTTTGTAGCCTGGCTGGGCGTGGCTCAGCAACTGAGCATCGACCTGGGATCTGGGTGATGGGGGTTCGATTCCCGGTCAGGGCACATGCCCGGGTTGCGGGCTCCATCCCCAGTCGGGGGCGTGCAGGAGGCAGCCAAATCAGTGACTCTCTCATCATTGATGTTTCTCTCTCTCTCTCCCCCTCTCCTTTCCTCTCTCTGAAATCAATAAAGATATATTTTTTAAAAAAGATATATTTTGTGTCCTGAATTATCTTTCCTAAACAGTCAGTGTTTTAGACCTTATTCGTCTTTTTGTTCATGCTGCTCATTTTCTTCAAATGCCTGGCCATCCTTGGTTACCAGATCTCATTGAAGAAAGCAGCCTGGATGGCTTGGGGAGGTTTCTTCTGCTAGGATGTCAGTAGCAGCACTTGCCACACACCTCCTTCCAAGTGGAAAGACAGTGTGGGTGGGACATGCAGTCTGGCAGGCTTTTCCCTGGGCATTGGCTAATATCCACATTAGAAGCCTTAGCTCTCCTCAGCCATTCTGCCTAATATTTTGTTGTACTGTTTTGCTTTTAGGAGAAAAGTTGTAAAAATTTTTTGCCTGGTCATAAACATCAGGCCGCCTATATTCTGCACAGAGTAAGTAGCCTGGGCACCTGTCCCGTGTCTACACCGTGAATGAACCCACTGGCTGCAGTTTCACTGCGCGCCTCGGCCTCCACCTCGCCTGTCGGCTCTAAGGAGCTCTCCACCACAGCTGGGGGCAGGCTGCCTTCCACCTCCAGCACATGCTCCCACGGCCGAGTCTGGACGGCTGCATTTATGCTCTCTGTTGCATTCATTCGCACAGTTCTAGAACAGCCCATCTTCCAGAAAGTTGTTAAAAATTTTTCTTCCATTGATGATCTTCTCTTTCCCCTGCCTATGTACTACTTAACTGTTGGGATTTATTCTTTCTTAAGTTTTTATACTTTAATTTCAGTAGGATTTCATGGGAAGTCATTTCAAATGAGGAGATAAAACTATTATATAAAACATGTTTGATGGTGAAATCAGTTTGGGAAACCCCAATTAATTTATTCTTAAGATTTTTGCCTTTATGTAGATGACTTATAGAAAACAGATGCATAGTTATAGTTCTCACAGGATTCTAACTATTCAAGTTATACACGGAAAGAATTACCAGTCCATTGATCCATCAAGGGAGCTGGGACATACATTAGTCAATTAAATTGTGATAGTTTATTATTATTATTATCACATCCCTAAGTAAAATTATATGTCAAGGCTAAAAAATTTCCCTGGACTTGGAAAATCTACAATGCATAATGAAAAGAGCCCATACTAGGAGTTAAGAAACTAAAATTTCAGTCCCATCTCTAATATACTCCAGGAAGTGAGGCAAGGTTCTTTCCACCACCGGACCTTAGTTTCTCCATCTCTAAAATAAAAGAGCAGCATGGGCCACCTTAGGAAATGTGTATGTGAGACTCATCAGTGGACCAAACTGCTCCTTCGACAGAGGAAGAACTGTTTTCTCTGGCCCTCTCAAGAGCTAATCTGCCTATTTTATGGGTGGGAAACAGGCCAGAGAGATGATCATGAACATAACCAAAGGGCAGAAGACAAGTTGGACTAGGTGATCTCTATGTGCCCTGTGAACTGGATGGAGGTGGTATGGCTTTGGAGTATTAATACTTTCTCATGTTTATGGTCCAGAACAGGGCCATCCTAGCCAGCGCATGCCCAGATGGGTTAGCTGTAGGATGGCACCTGCTGAGAAGTGCTGATGACACCTACATCCTGAAGTCCAGACTCAGCTCTAAGTTCTCAGGGTGAGTGGGATTCTAACTGTAGTTACCTGTCTTCTCTCTTTTTTCTAATTTTGAGTACTTTTGATTTTCTTTTTATTTTTATTTTAAAAAGACTTAAACACCAAAAGTTATCAAGAAAGGACCCCTAAGCCAGGGTTATTTCACTTGGGATTGGTAAAGCACTCCCACTCATCCTTCCAACTTCCACCCAGCTCCCACTGCCTGCAAGCAGAATCAGGTGACAAGGGAGAGAAGGCATCCTTGAACTCCCCGGGGCCTTAACTGACAACAAATTGAATATTAAATGCACAATAGGAAACAAGCCCTCTTAGTCCTTCAACCACATTTTTCAAGCCCTATTTCTGACACTAGAAAATTCTAAGCTCAATTTGAGTGTCACTGTAAACTCCTCTCTGTGCCAGATGATTTTACCCACATATTTATATTCCAAGTACAAACAACTTAAAATGTTTACACTGAGTAGTAATGGAAGTCATGTGTCAAATACAATGGGAGGGAAAAGAGTACAACTTTCTTCAGAACTACGGCTTGAAGATATACAGTATCTGTGGAAAATGTGCCTTACAAATAAGAATGCACTGTTTACCTATACCATTTAATTATAGAGAACATGCATTTTTACCCTTTGCATACAATGTCTAACATCTCAGTTTTTAGTTTTTTGTTTTGGTTTTGCTCTGCAGTGTTGCCTGAAGCTCTGGAAGTCTCAGCTCCATATACAGACTCTCAAAGCACACGACCACACACTTCCGTCATTCGTGGTCCCCATTCCCTTTAATCTCCCACTCCCGGGGAGAGGCAGTGAAGGGTTCACCATCATGTTCAAAAACAGTAAAGAGAGGCCTCCTCAGTCCTCTCAGGGCTGCCAGCTGTCAGCTTTCCTATCTGAGCAATGTAAAGACCAGGGCAACTACAGGAGGCCAGGAAAGGACTCTCGGCATCTTTCTACAGGGAGAGTTCTCTGAATTTACCACCAAGCCTTTAGTGACAGCTTCTAATCACCAGCTATTCAGGCAAAACTTCTCAGAAAAGTTCTGCAGAGGAAACAGTATGCTTGCTGAACACGGCCCATAGCTGCCCTCCTACACAGAGTACCCCCAGGGTCGATGCTAACGGGGTTAGGAAGATACCAATGGAGGAACACAGGGCTGCTGATTTCTTTCACGTAACATGTCTTAGAGATGGATAAAGCATCACGGTAAATTCATAATTCTTAGGTGAAGGACGGCTTTTTTTCTTTGAGAGCCAAGACCCCTCAACCCCTCATCTCACACCACCTCAGTCATTCTCATGCGTCGGCCTCTAACGTGGACCCAGGTGACCTCCCTGCACACAAGGCTTTCACGTGCTGCACCCGCCCCAATCTCATCTCAGCACTGGACCTGCCCAGTGTTCTTTGGATAATGTTGATGACAATGAATATTCACCTGAGCCCTCTAACCTTTTTCGTTTTAAATCTTGGAGAAGCTAACCCTTTCCTTTTGCTTTTTCTGTCACTTTTGTCTATCTTATTTATTTGCAACTCTCAGCTGCAGCAAAAAGCATCCTACTGTATTCTTTTAAAAACATATATTCTAATTTTCAAAGAAGTTGGCACTTCATCAGAGGCAATTTTTATACACTCATTCTCAATCTGATTCCATAGATGTACTAGCCAGGCCCACTGAAAAGTTCATTTCTCTATCTCCCCAACACTCAAAGCTTAAAGGCAGGAAATGCTATGAGAAAGCAAGAAATCTTGGCGAGGAAAACAAAAACAAAGTAATTTGTAGAGCTGAATTAAAAAAACAGACCCTTTCAACATCAGTTTTTACCTTTATACTAAATTTTCACTTCCCTGATCCACATAACCAATTTTAAATAGAACCTAATTAAAGCTAAAAGAACCAACCAACAACATAGCTATAATTTTAAACTTTAATCTAGAATGTTTGGTTGCTTCATATATTTTGCATCTCACCCATAAGTTCTGAGAAAAAATACTGAAATAAATGAATATTAAAGCTACACTTTATTAACTGAGGATCTAAACACATCTTACCTGTAAATATGTTTCCAAACCTTGTCGTCGTTGTTCCAACACTTTTGGGACCCAGTTCCTCACATGTTTAGAAGGAATTTCTGGAGTTTTAATACATTTCTTAAGCTATAAAGAAAGAGAAAAAAAAAGCCATAGTAAATGTTCTTAATCATAAAGACATTACTGGTGGGGGGAAGCCAACAAAAAAAAAGTGAGCAACTGGTATCTTCAATAAAAAGATAGAGGAAAATACAATAGCACTGAAATTTTGTCTAATTCTTTACTTGGCAGTCCTAAATGTTCAGATTTCAGGATAAAAATTTTGTGTTTTTGGAATTCGTTGTTATTGTTATACATCATCTGTATTTCAAACTGGAATTTTTTTTCCTAAAAATCAAAGTTCAGTAAACAAACTATAAAGGAAGTAAAGAAGTTTGTAATATCCAAAATCAATTAATACAATGAAACTTTGGTTACATGAAGTGCTTTTCTGATGCAGTCTTTCTACATATTTTTCACATAAAAAAGGCAGAACAAACTGCCATTGTTTATGACCATCATACTGTAAAATGCCATATGAATCAGACCACATCATTTGGAGTGTTTCCTGAAAGTTTCATAAAGAATGAACTGAAAAACAGAGAGATTGATCCTTCCAACATTCCTAAGAATTAGGTCCAAATTCTGTCATGAAAACTGAATAATGGTTCTCAGCTAAGCTTTACAGGGCAGCAGTTTTAAGGGACCATATAAATAAAACAAATTCTATTGAAAGCTGAGTTAGAAATACCTGTTTTAGATGTGTCCTACTACAACCACACCCTCAACCTGGGAATATTAACTTACATGTCAAGGCACTTTGCACATATGATTAAATTAGGGCTCTCACAATGAGATAATCCTAGATTATCTAAGCGGGCTCAATGTAATCCCAAAAATCCTTATAAGAGGAAGGCAGGAGGATCACAGTCAGAGAGTGATTGGAAGCAGCTTGCTTTGACAATGGAAGAAGAGTTATGAGCCCAGGCAACCTCTAAAAGCTGGAAATGGGAAAGGGATGGGCCCTCTCTTATAGCCTATTGACACCTTGACTTTAGCTCATTGAAACTCATTTTGGACTTCTGACTTCGAGAAGTGTAAGATAACAAATTAGTGTTCTTTTAATCCACTAAATTTGTGCTAACATGTTACAGCAGCGATAGGAAACTAATACATTGCCTCTCAAAAGGAATGAATTTTAATATTCTAATTAAAAACTTAGAAAACCTACTAAGATTGCTCCTTCACTACAACTGCAAAGAAACAGTACAATAATCTCTTAAGAAAAGGCACAGTTTAACCCCCAGCAGCTAATACTATAATACAAAATTCTCTCTATACATTAGTACATATTCACCAATAACCATTCTAGGCTAAAATTTGTTGCACATCATGAAACAGTAGGGGCTCTTTGTGCACTCTGAAGACCATCCCTTCTAGTGCAAGACAGGAGGCTGAGCCTGTGTTTGCCTCCTCCCTCCACACCTGAAGTGCCATTAAAATGAAAGTGTGAGCGTGCTAGCTGAAACCCCAAATCTGTTCTGATCTTCCTCACCAAGAGAACTACACTATTGAGAATAACAATGTATTGGGCTAAATTTAGCTAAGAAGCTAAATTTTCCAAACTGCCTTGCAGAGAGTAGAAGCCAAAGGTAATCAGAAGTCACTGAGAAGGGCTTTCTATAAAAACTCTTCGAGTAGAGCAAAGTCAGCTGACTTGCACTTTCTATCCTAACCGTTCCCTTTCACCTGTTTCCTGCCTAATAAAATGTGACCATGATGGCTGGAGCTGCCACGACCATCTGCCACCATGAGGCAACTCTGAGGATGGGAGCCAGATGTTCCAGATGACTGAGCAGAAAGAAAGAAGGAGCCAGCATGCCTGACAGCCTCCTGGAGCTGCCACACAGCCCAGACCCGCCCACTTCCAAACTTGTTTTTTAAGAGGAAAAACCTAGCCCCTCCCCACCTTCTGTTTAAGGTTACTGGTATTTGGACTTTTTGTTTTATATTTATGTACCTGAATTTAATCCTGGAAGACATTTAAAAAAGAAGAAAAGAATAGAACAAGGCAGGGAGAAAGGGATAGTAATCACCACGTGAGAGACAAACAGTTTTCGAAAGACAGAAAACAAGAGCATGCCAAGGAAGAAAGAAGAGCAGAGGGAGCCCCAGCCCAGACCACCTCAGGAAGGGGGTGACAATGGGTGTGGGCCCCAATCTTATCAGCAGCCCTGAGAGGCTCTGTGCTCAAGACTGACATAAGAGGAGGGATTCGACCATGTCATAGCCTGTGTCAAAGGACACTCTACTCTACCCACCACAGCAGAGTGAGTAGCAGCCTGGTTTTATCCCTGGCACACACACCCCACCCCATTAAAAAAGAGTCAATGTCCCTAAAGAAAATGAATGAAGTGTTTGGGTTGAACAAGAATTTTGCATTCTAGTCCTACTGGCTTTCATGGGGTCCCCAGCCTAATAGCTAGCTCTCTCCCATCATTCCCTATAATGAGGCCCTTTAGTAGACACACCCTACAGAAGGACCAGGCTTATGTTCCCAAAGCAGAAGGGCCAATAACAAATACCCAAAATCACCTCATTGGATGGGTAATCAAGAATCACCTTCATAGGAAAGAGCACTATGAAAGACATGAAAAACAAATGGGACAACTAATCCCAAAGAAACATATAAATCAAATAGCAGAAAAGATCTTTAAAAACTCTATTAGTATCTTCAGGGATATTTGAGAAAAATATTGCTTCTATGAAACAAGAACAGGTTGCTATGAAAAAGAATCAGAGAACAAGAAAGATACATTGGGAATTAAAATTCATGGTAGCGAAATTAAAAAATTCAAAGAGGTAGAATATAAAATGCTAGAAGTCTCTTAAAGTACAGAATAAGCAAAATGAGAGAAAAGGTAGGTAAAAGATAAAACATATATAGAATTCATCCAGGAGGTTTAATATAAAATTAATAAGCCTCCCACAAAGAATATGAAAAAAATTCTCAAAGAATAAAAAAAAATTCTCTATGACTTAATGTATGCCTTCAGAGTAAGAACCCACTGAGTACAAGCATATATATTAAAAAAAGACCCACACTCAGTGACATTTACCTGTTGAAATTTCAGAATATCAAGGACAAGAAAAAATTAGGTGGCAAAGAAAGCAGAACTGTAGTGGCAACTGACTTCTCATCGTCAGCAGTGAATGCTAGGTCAATGCTTCCAAGATCTAATTTGAAAATGGATTTCTGGAACCAGCCACACCATTCATCACGTGTGAGAGAACAAATGCATTTTCAGACATTCAAGGACTCAAAAAGTTTACCTTCCATGCCTGATTTTCCACAAATAGGATCTGGCCTTAGAGTTCTGCTCCATCAGTGTGGGGAAGGGAACTCCAAGGACAGCTGAGCATAGCAGCCTAGAGAACCACCAGTCTATGTTGGAGCAAAAGGTCAGAGGACTTGGAGAGAGGAGCCTCCTGGGAGATGATCGATTTCATGCAGTAGATAGTATGGAGAAGATGTATAAATTTTATGATTTGTTAATAAAGTACATTATTCTCTTGTCTATTAAAAAAAATAAGATCCAGGGAAGGCAAAGACTCCCTAAAGGTCATAGGAACAGAAGTCACTCAACTCCTCCTGTGTTGTTTTGGTGCTAGAGACACCCCTGCCTTCGTGGGGCTTACATAAAGGAAAAAGACAATAAAAGATAAACAAGTTAATAAAACAGGGTGAGGGCCAACAGTAACAGAAGGGGGGGGGGGTGTCAGGAGTAACTGGGGAAGGCCTGTATGAGGTGGGAATGACTGAGTTGTGACCTGATCCAAGCTGGGAGGGAGCCAGGCAAGGAGCTGGAGAAGGAATGTTACGGCAGATACAGAGCAATGGAAGGGAGGGCAAGCTTGGTGTTCAAAACACAGAGAGGGGGAGACAGCTTCAGAGAGGGGGCAGCTTCAGACACCATAAGGTCTGGGAGGCCAAGGTAGGAATTTGCATGTAATTTTAAATGGGAAGCAAATTGACTGTCTTGAGCAAGGGAATGATCCGATATAATTTTTACTTTAAGAGGCCATGAGACATTCTACCAGCAAGATGGACTATAAGGGGCTGGAGTCAAAGCAAGGAGACCTGTCGGAAGCTCCTGCCGAAGTCCAGGCAAGAGACAGTGGTGAGTTGGACTATGTCACGGCAGTGGAGATGGGAGAAGCTGTGGGGGTATGTGGAAAGCAGAGGTGATCAGAATGACTCCAAGACCTTCACTGTTCTAAGGTTTTTGACCTCACCTGGCAGCCATATTTTGGGTAACCTGCCTGTTGTTAACTGAAAAGTGGCAAAATGCCAGGTTTTGGGTAAGTGTCAGAGAACACCAGTTACCTCCCCAGTCCATTGTCCCTCTCTTCTACAGGACAGAACACCTAATATTCAGCTGAGTACATGACCACCCAGAATAAAGAACACATTTCCCAATCTCCCTTGAAGCTAGGTGTGGCCATATGAGTGAATTCTGGTCAAAGGCCGGTAAACAGGCGCGTATGTGCAGCCTTCAGGAAGTGGTCTTACAGAGGAGGACTCTCCTTCTCTCCTTTCCTCCTTCCTCCCGGCTGAATTGCTCCTGTAATGGCTAGACCTGGAGCAGTCACCTTCGACCGTCAGGTGGAAGCCTCATATTGAGAACACATGGGTCCCCGATGATCATGAAACTGCTGCACCAGCCCCAGATATTACATGAGAGAAAAATAAAGGTGTGTCTGTTAATCTCACCATCATTTTGGCTCTAGAGTCACTTGTCGCCAAATCTAATCCCACATGAGTAGGAGACGTGGCCGATGCTGCTAGGTGCACTACCCACTACCTTCTCCTTCTTCCAAAAACATCCCAATGTCATTCAAAGTACCAACGTGTAGAGCAAAAAAAAAATCTTGATTCTCCAAGTTCCCTTGTAATTAAGATGGCGTGAGACAGAGTTGCTAATGAAATGTAGTGTACATTTACTGGGTAGGGCTCCTGTTTTCCTCAAAAAAAGAAACAGGCTCTTCCTCCTGCCAGAAATGTGGAGGCAATGCCTGGAGGGACA